CTAGGCAGAGGTAATGCCAAACTTGTTGAACCAGTGGCCAGACACCCCCCATGGAGAGGAACAAAGGAAGGTGGAATGCTGCCCTGACTGGGGGGCAGGGCTGCAAGGGAATTTAGTTAGTTACTGTGGGAGAGCATGGAGGAGAGCCTAGGAGAAGGGGCTGGAGTTTAGGGGCCCAGTCTCCCCCATCTCAAGGGGGCCTGAGGCATCCTAGCCCAGCTCTGTGACCAGACTACATCTGTGCTGTGCTGTATCCTGGAGAGGCAATAAACTTCCTCTAGCCCACCGGCTGGTGCAGTCTGTTTGTGCCATTTCGGGGTGCAGGAGACGGGGGACCCCAGCGCGCCGTCACACCCCCCAGAGCCAGGAGGCCTGATCTCCGCATGATGCAGCAAACTCCCTTGTTTGGGACCAATCAGGTCTTGAGCGTGCTGGATCAGGGAGGTCTAACCTGTACTTATAATGAGGTACAAGGTTACCAGTCCTTTAAAACTGGTAAGGAAATCCTTCAGGCTCAGCATTACTACACTGAGGGGGTGAGTGCTTGCAGGAAAAGTCTTGTGGGACAGGGACTGTGCAAGAGGAAGGGGGATCTTAAAAGCATTTTGGAATTTTGAGGGAGAAACTCCCAGCTGTTGTCCTTGTATAGGGACTAAGATAAGAAGGCATTGGTGCCTTTTACAGTTTGGTCATCTCTGATGCTTTTTAATTCCATGATAATGTTGCATAACAGCTCCACAATCAAGACGCTTGCCAGTTACACATAACAGGAAAAACAAGAGTAAGATATTTAGAAGTGACATGATTTTGGATACCCAATTTGAAAAACTTTTAAAAAGAAATAGTTTTCAGAAAAATACTGAGCAATCAGCCTCTGAAAAGTCAGTTCCCTTTAAAGTATCAAGCAAGGGAGCCAGCTGAGGCACTAGCATTGTCCCTACTGAAAAACCCTAGCTTAAGTGGTTTGAGGAAAGGTGAATTCAGAGCTAACATTTGTAAATAAGGCAGAAGAGAACATCTCCACCATCAGTGGTCAAAAACAAGGCGCAAAGGGCTGCCAATTCTACACGACAGGAGCATACTGTGTGACAATTGTACTGGATGTTTAGCGGCTCTAACATTTTAAGGATACATGAGTCACATGCTGAGCTTCTGTCTATACTCCCAGTATGTGGAACCAATTCCTCCCAATCTTTTGTCAAAGATAGTTGAGGTCTGTTGGCACTCAGAGAATGCTGCAAGGCATACTAATTTGGGATTGTGGGGAGTGAGGAGAATTGAAATTCAAGTGGACAGTTGTGTTGAAGGTAGAATTTTGGAGGGAGTAAGAAAGGGAATGTTAAGGCATCTAGTGGTATGTCTACACTAGAAATGGTAAAGCAGCAAAGCTGCAGCACTGTAACATAAATATTTACTAAAATGACAGAAAGTGTTCTTCAATCGCCAGTGTACCCTCTAAGCTGTGCACCTGTGTGGCTGCACAACAATCCATTAAGTACCGTGCATTTGATTATTACAGCCATATACATCCTCAGTAACCATGACTTGTGTTCCAGTCCCCCTAACCCCGGCTGGCCTACTGCTGTGCAGCTTCTGCCCTCTGTCTTCAAGCCCCTGGCCATCTGCTCCCAGGAGCATATTGTTTTCTGGGCAGGGAGTGGGGGGGTTTGATGTCAGGATGTTTGCCTCTCCCCTGCCCATGTTCCTCATCTATGTGTAGTGTTGGTGGGGGGAAGTGGGAAGGGTTCTAGAGTGAGAAGGAGCAGCTGGTGGCTGCTGCTGTGTCTGAAAAAGTTTTCAGATTGGTCAGTGCCACTCAATTTAAAGTGACAGCACATGCTGTCTCTCCTTCACACCCACCCACCCATCCTCTACCTCCCAATACATACTTTTATTATTGCTCCTATTGTTACTTCTTGGTACTTCCTGCAATGCACATGAATTCTCTATAGTATTATTCTTTCAAATAACTGTTACTTTAATTTTTGACTGGTTGATGCATTTAATCATTTTCGCTCTTATGCTGAAATTTAATTCTAGTAGAAGCAAGTTCTAAAATGCCTAACCTGTCCTGACTGGAATAATTATCCATGTGGTAATTTAACAAATATACATTATATCTAGGTTTGTCTCTACTGATGATGCACATCTGCACATTACCTTGATACTGGTGTGCATTACAAAATTCATTGTACACATGGATAGAAAAACTGAGGGAACATTTTCCATTGCTATAGCTAATGCACCTCTCTGAGAAGAATTCTTCCATCAACCTAGAAGCTTATACCAGGTCGTAGGATGGTTTAACTACATTGCACAGGGCATGATGTTTTTCACAGCCCTGAGCAATGTAGTTAAGCTGATCTAATTTTGTAGTATAGACCAGCCCTACGAGTGTCAGGCACCCTTTTGTATATTTGTATGAATGGAACACAGCAGTGATGGATCAAAATATTTGTATTTAAAAAAAAGTTTCTCTCTACCTTCCATGTTTGCTACACAGTAAGCAGAGGACCTACTGCATTGTTATTCATCACAATTTTTTCTCTCTCTATATATAAAAACATTTTCAGTGGGATGACAGACACATCATTACATCATCTATGTCCTCATACTGCCAATGCTGCCTGCCTCTGCCCTCAGCCGCTTACTGTGGCCAGCCTCAGCATTCTCCCCTCTGGGAATGGCTGCTCCGGTTCCTGATTCACACCCCAGGGGGCTGTGCCACTGGGGAGGAGCTGGTGGGGCTGCCATCTGAGTCCCCTCTGCCATCTGAGTCTAACCCCCCACCTTCCCATGCTGGGTCCTCACCACCAGCTGAGCCCGACTCACCCCCCAGGCCAACTTGTGTCCCCTCTGCCAGCTGAGCCCAACCCACTCCCTAGGATGCCTTGTGTCCCCTCCACCATCTGAGCCTGACCCCCCCACCACCATGGACTGCGCTAGGTCCTCTCTACCATCTGAGCCTGATCCCTCCCTCACAGGCTGCGCCAGGTCCTCTCTGCCATCGAGCCCAACCTCCCCCCTCAGATTGCCCCACATTCCCTTGAGATGGGGGAGACTGGGCCCCTAAATCCCAGGGCCCCGTGCTTAGGCTGCTTCCTCCATGATTTCAGACAGAAACTAACTCTCTTCCAGCCCTGCCCCCCAGCCAGGTGTTGGTCTCCGCCTTCCTCCCTTTGTCTCTCTCTCTCTGGGAGGCTGAGCCTGGGTGTCTGGGTTAATATACATTTAGGAGAGTCAGTGAGAATCTCACCTCACAGTGCAGGGGGACCCCGGGTCACAGAGCAGACAGCACCCCCACTACGTCACAGTAGGATAAAAGCACAACCCCTCTCCCCCCCAGAATTCACAGGAGATGACAATTTTATGGTCAATGACAGGTTTTTCATGGCTGAGAATTTGGTAGGACCCTGCACATAGGCAAGCAGATGATCAAAAACCCAGCCTGCTCTATCATTTCTATATTTTGCCTGCATTATTACCACTTAATACTAGCACCTGCATACTGTGGAGATAGAGTTCAAGTGACTGTTTTTGGAAATGTGTTCCATCTATCCAAGAGAAATACTTCAAGAATTACATCTCTGAATACCATATTTAACAGCCATAATAATTTCAAAGCAGTAGTTGAATAGATTTTCTTTCAAATTTCCCCATTTCTTACACAAAACCTTAAATATGTACTATAGGTTGAACCCTCTAGTCTGGCACCTTTGGGACCTGACTGGTGCCAAACCAGAGAATTTGCCAGACACCAGGAGGTCAATATTATCTTGCAGCATTATCAACACTTCCACTGCTCGCTGGGTTCTTAGAAGACATTTAGGGGTAAATTAGAGCTAAAGAACAGCACAGAACACTGAGAGCCAGGATTGGTGTCTGTAAATATACTTTATGGGCCCACGGGAAACTTGGCCACATCCATCATAAGGGGACATCTCACTAACTAAAATCATGCTGGACCACACATGTTGCTGGACCAGAGAGTGCTAAACTAGAGATGTTCAACCTGTACTAGCATCCTTTGATGTTTCTGGTACCTAAGACTAGGATTCACTGCTTTTATTTTAAATAAACCTGTTTGTCAACAATTTTACAACTTAAAATTAATGTAATAGGATACCCATCCACCGTAGCTGAACTTCAGTGTAATAATCTTTTATAAAACATGTATAGAGACTTGTTGATAAATTAATCCTATTACAGCCTTACCATTGATTACTGGAGTATAAACAACAATCCCAACTAAATTAGGATCAGAAACAGTTGTGTCCAGAATAAGGCCACCAATGCTGAAAAATATAAAGTACAACATTTAGAACAAGGAAAACAGTTGCAACAATATTTATTTTTCAAATTCAATCAACCAACCTTCGAGCATTCAAAATTCTTAGCAACCATGTAAAAAGTGTCCTGAAAATGTTGCTGTCTCTCTGTTCCTACCTCCACGCGCCCTCCCATTTTTTAAAGGAAAGTTTTTGCAGACAGTTCCACTGCTCCTGAGATTATTAGTGAAAACACAGTTTTATCAATGTTTCTTTTAAAAACTGTTTTGCATGTGTGAGGCTTGAAATATGAACCTGATATTTGGAAGAAGAAGGTTCTGAAGTAAAAAAAAGTGTCTTTCATTGTCCTTGTGAAAATCCATTCAGATTTAGCAAATTTACAAATTATGGTCAGAGAATTACTATTATAATACTATATAATGTAGCCGAGTTAGTCTGTACAGAAAAAAACAACAAATGGTCTGGTAGCACTTTATAGACTAACAAAACATGTAGATGGTATCATGAGCTTTCCCGGGCACAGCCCACTTCTTCTGGTCATCTGAAGAAGTGGTCATCTGAAGAAGTGGGTTTTGCCCACAAAAGCTCATGATACCATCTACATGTTTTGTTAGTCTATGAAGTGCTACCAGACCATTTGTTGTTTTTTTCTGTACAAAGTAACTCAGCTACCCCCTGAAGCTACATTAGTGTATAAAGTGCTATTATAATGTAAGCAGAATTACCAGTGTAATTTATTATTTATATTACAGGAGTGCCGAGAGACAGCGACGGAGATCAGCACCACACATAGTATAAGACTCTCTGTCTAATGTGTGAGCACTTGTCCCCTTATTTTCTGAATGCTCCAGTCACCGTCCACATGCTCCCCACAAGCTGCACCTCCTCCACTCTAAGCATACAATACACAAGTTAAGAAAGAGGGGCAGTCACCCTCTTTGATCCAGCCCAACTAGAACATGGCGTAGCCGCAGTTTTCAGCCTGACGAGACTGTGCTGCACTCCAGCTGGGCTGGATCAAAGAAGGACAGCCACCCAGTCAGCAGTCAGGAGGCCAGAGGGCCTGGAGGCTGCCCCTCTTTGATCCAGCCCAGCTGGAGTGGGGCACAGACTCAACAGGCTGAACGCCACGGCCAGCTGGGCTGAAGCAAACAGGGGCAGCCATCTGGCCAGCTGGCTGTGGCAATCGACCCCTAGGGACTCTGCAAATAGACCGGTTGGTGACCACTCCCTTAGAGTGGTCATGCATACCAGTGGTTCTCAAGTTGTAGTCCACAGACCCCTGGGAGTCCTCACACTATAAGATTTCCAAAGGAGTCCACACCTCCATTCAAAAATGTTTAGGCGTTTACAGATGAAAACCACCGCCATTTGCCACCAAACTGCTTGCAATCCCTGAGGCAGGAAGACAGCTACTGAAAAAATCCACAAAATTCAGTGTTGAAATGAGGCATACTTTATCTCCTAAGGTACATATGCAACTTGTTCACTGCGCAGTCACAGATCTACAAACTGCTCCAGCTAATCCTTCTACCATTCTGCACAGCTACATCTAACACAGTGAATGCAAGAGTATACATGCAAATAAATGTTAGAATCCAAATCCAATCTTGATTTAAAAAGTTCAAGAGAAGGAAAAAACCCCATTTCCTTAGTAGTTTGTTAAATCTTTATATCACCCTTACTGAACCATTCTAGTGGCTACTGCTAGCCCTAGGACAGAAGTCAGCAACCTTTGGCACGCAACCTATCAGGGTAATCTGCTGGCAGGTCACAAGACATTTTGTTTATGTTTAACTGTCCACAGGCATGCCTCCCACAGCTTCTGTTCCTAGCCATTGAGAACTGCAGGGGGTTATGTTGACAGTCAATGTAAACAAAATGTCTTGCAGCCTGCCAACGGATTACCCTGCTGAAGGTTTCTGACCCCTGCTCTAGGAGATCACAGCTACAATTACATACATTGCAGGGATGAGGTGTACCCTCTGGATATCCTTGCTTTCAGAAGTTTAAGTTTAGCCAGTCTCCTCATTCTGGAAAGGCACAAGGCATCATTGGACATTAACTCTGCATTACTGAAGCGTGGGGGTTTTAATAAGACAAGGGTCAACAAGTTAGATTCAGGCAGGGGAGCACAATGAAACAATTTTAAAAAAGTACTTACCTGCTTATAACCATAGCAGTAATAACAGGCTCCCACCCTGAATAGAGAACTGTTCTTGTAGCTGGATGTTTGGCAGATATTACAATCCATATAGGAGTCAGAGCCAAGAAAAAGGCACCAACTAAAGGAGCTATGTAGTGATAGGTCTCTAAAATAAAAAACAAACATTGGTTTAGCCTTTGTGGGCTCCTACAAATTTTGTTCAATGAATTTAAACTTTAACATATAATTATATTCTATATATTCTTCATGTTTTACTGTCCATATCACCACAGTATTTGAGTGTCTTCCAGTAGAAGCATTATGTGACATTAATAACATCATGAATGGTCATTCCTTTTTTCATCCTTTGCCCAGGGGACAAATCATATGTGCAGTGTAATGTTTTGTTTTGGTAGGGTTTTGGGGTTTTTTTGTTAGTTAGTTAGTTAAAATGTACACACTGCTGTGTATCTACGTTAGACAGGGGTGGGAAAGAGGCAGCTAGAGGGCCAAATGCGGCCTGCCAAGCCACCGGATCTGGCCCATGGCTGCCTTGCTGGGACCCTTCAGCACAGCGCAGCTGCTGCCACTTTAAATGTGACTCCTTTATGCTGGGAGCAAGAAGGGAGGCTTTGTGCTCTGTTCTGTCCTACTGCACTCCCCCCCCCCCCCAAAAAAAAAATCTCTCAACTCCCACTGGCCAGTTTCTGAACAATAGGGGCTGAGAAATTTTGCTGGCAACAGGGAAAACCAATGAAGCCTCCTCACTCCCTCCCTCCTGCCAGGAGCAGCTTGCAACTGTAGCCTTCAGGTTCCTGAGGACTGCTGGCTGGGAGCTGCCTAGGTAAGCACCTCCCAGCCAGAGCCTGCCTCTGGCACCTTCACCTTCTCTCCCCCAGCTACCTGTCCCAGGCCATCATCCAAAGCCTCTGTACCCCTTTCCCTCAGGTCACAGCTCCTTCTCAGACCCTGCACCCCCTCGTAGAGCACCTCCCCTGGGCCAGAATCCTCTCCAACACCCACACCCCCTTCTGGACTCTGTACCCAAGACCTCTGCCCCAGATCACAACCCTTTCCTTCACCTAAACTCCCTCTCAGACTCCACAGCCCCTCCTGCACCCCAGTCTCCTATCCCAAGCTCCTTTCTGCACCCAACCTCTGTCCCCGACCACACACACCCTCAGTAGAAATGTGGCCCTTGACCACTTGACAAAATCTTGGAGTGGCCCTCCCCCCATTAAAAACTATTACCCACCCCTGATGTTAGAGAAGATAAAGACCTAGAGTACAGAACAAGCGTTGTGATGCATTTCAAAAATCAATTTTTCATTTATTAGCTCAACTGAAACAAACATGAGTACAGTCTTCCTCCTCCCCCAAACACAGACTGTTAAGTAAGCTCTAAGAAAAAGCAAACCTTAACTGATCAAATCACAGTGCTTAATATTATACATAAAATCACTCATGCTAGGATTTAAATATCTAGAACAGTTCTAAGCAGAATAACAAAATGCCTACTTTTGTTTTTACTTTGAGTAACTCATTTCTTAAAAAACACATAACCAGCTTGAACAGTGTTATGCTTAAAAATACATCAGCGGCAATTTCATCAAAATTGCATCATATTTCATAGAAAAACAGAAGAAAACAGGGATTGCACAGTAAAGTAATATATTTATAAAGCAACATCACTTATACAAAGGATAATTTGTCTCTACCAAAAGAGTACAGTTTTCCTCCATACATGAGTCCTACAGTCCTTCCCACATGAGTTGTCCCAATGATGCCAACTTTCCTGATGCAACAACTACATAAATAACGACATAAATCACTTAATGGCAAATAAGTGTAAATTACATGGTAATGCCCCATACTACTTTTGCATATGCTTCATTTTATGAAAAATATAGCACTGTTCACTATTAAACAACCAGCTGTATTTTGCCCAAGCCTTCATAATTTGGGCAAAAAAATGATCCCTAACATAGTTTGAATGCATGTGCAATTTTTAAAAAATGTGACTACATGTAAAACATTGCAAAATGGAAGATTACCAGTTTATGTGTGTGACTTCACCCAAGCACCAAAAGTTATCAGTATGACATCAAATCCCTGAACAGCAAGATTCTTACTGAAGAGCCCTTCAATTCAAGCAAATACTATTTTGAGGCTGTTTTGAGAGGAAAAAAAGTTGTTCTGAAAGCGTTTAAAAAATGATGCTGCCCCAGTAGTTTTTCAGGATGTGAGCAAAAAAGAGCATGTAGAAAAGAGAAAATAAGCAATTAACATTTAAGTAGTTGTAATGTGAATTTATCCTTCAGTAGCAGGAAATGTGACCTAGCGTATTAGTTATATCAGACAAAACCCTAAAATACTAGAGTCTACCATTGTGATAAAAAAGGAATATATAGATATGTTCACACCGGGGGAAAAAAAGACATAGAAGTAAGTCTCAGCACACATCTATCCAAGGATAAAAGACTTGAGGCATGGTCACGGCAAGTCTGGGTCAGCTGAGTTGGGCTCATAGGCAGAGATGAAAGTAAGTGGGAGTGTCCTGGTGCGCAGCTCTAGCAAGAGCTGGCTGAGCTGTGGCAAAAGCCAGCAGGAAGCTATTTAAAGAGCTGGCAGGGACCCGGGTTGCAACAGGACAGTTACCTGTAAGAAATTTTAAGTTACTCTCACTGTTGCTCACAGGGCTCAGACTGTGGGGAAAAAAAAGTTTTGTGAATATTCAGGCTACATCTACTACAAGCCTCTTGCAGAAGAGCAAATGCAAATGGGAGCTCATTTGTATATGCAGCGCTTTCATTTGCATTTTCTCTTCCCTTTCCTTTTGTGCAAGAGATTTTGTGCAAAAAAGTTCAGTGTAGACCCCCTTTTGCACAAGAGCCATTCTTCCTCATTTTTTGAGGCTCTGAGCTGGGGCCAATGGGTTTGGGGTGTGGGCTCTGGTAGGGAGTTTAGATGTGGGAGGGAGTTCGGGACTGGGGGAGAGAACTGACATGTGGGTGGGGTACAAGCTCTGTTGTGGGACTTGGGATGAGGCGTTTGAGGTGCAGGAAGGAGCTCGCGGTTGAGACAAAGAGGAAACTGGGGCATGGGGGAGGGAGTGGAGTTCAGGCGATGTTTATCTAAGGCGGCTCCTGGGAAATGGCCTATACACATGTGACTCTTAGGCGGGGAGCCAGAGAGACTCTGCATGCTGCCTGCATCCGTAGGCACCATCCCTGCAACTCCCACTGGTTGTGGTTCCCAGCCAATGGGGGAGCTGAGAAGCCAGTGCTTGGGGTAAGGGGAGCATGCAGAGCTTCCCTGGCCTCCCACATGCCTAGTAGCCACAGATATGTGGAGGCTGCCTCCCAGGAGCTGTGCAAAGCCGGGGCAGGTAAAGGACCTGCTTTATCCCTGCTGATCAGAGATATCCCTATCCCAGAGCCTGCACACCAGATCAAGCCCAACTGTCTTCACAGTGATTTTCAGTCCCAGAGCTTGAATCTGTAAGACCAAGTCAGCTAACTCAAGCCAGCCATAGTTTTTTTTTTAATCCCTATGTAGCTATAACCTCAAAGCCCAGGTCAACTGACTCAATGATGAGGTGCTTGTTTTCTGGGGCTAAAGCAGCAGATGTTCAGGCTTAGGTTGGAGACCAATCTCTGAGACCCATTCTCTCGCCAGATCTGAAAGCCTGGGCTTTGGCCCAAACATGAAGATCTATACTACAATTTTTAGTGCCATACTGCAAGCCTCAGTCATTGATCTGGGCTCTGAGACTTGCTGTTCGGTATCTATTTTTGTAATTAGACATCCCTAAGCACTCAGGCCATAACTCAGGATCAAGGAAAAATTGTATAGTGCAAATACTAACATAGCAGAACAACAAATAAGTAATTGCAAAGGTGGAAAAAGAGAGTCATCACAAAAGAGTTGTAAATAAAAAAGCTAAAGAAAATTTGATATTGTATCATCTTAAAACAACAAAACCTCCATAGAGATTCATCAGTATCAAAAAATGAAGATCAGTAGACATAGTGAAAAATTAAACGTCATGCAAGAAATGTCCAAGAGCAGAGATATTTTTAAAGAAACAGGCTCTCAAGTTATATAAGCCAGACAGGCAGAAATTTTGTCAACCTAGGGTCTGTGTGTGTAAATTGCAGTCTAATTTGTCAACTTCATAGACGAGTCTGCAGAAGACAACTCAGTTAGTCAATCAATATTTAACTGCCTTGTAGTCTCACACCTTTCCTATTATATCTCTGTAGATTCAAACTATTTTAAAATTATTAAAATTATGCTTGAACAGTTCAGATGATTTTGTTTCTCAATAGAATTCATTTTCAAAAGTTATTTGGGAGATCTGTGCCAAATAGTTAACTTTGTTCAATTTTAAGAGAACAATTTCTACTAAATAAAAAAAAAGTAATTAATCTCAAAGTATATATAGAGAGAGGGAGAGGGAGAGGGAGAGGGGGGGGAAGAGAGAGAGAGAGAGAGAGAGAGAGAGCGAGAGAGAGAGAGGTGTCACCGCTGTAGCTTAGCTTTAACAATACTTCATACGTTTTGTTTCTCCCTGCAGACTCTTTCTCCTCTACCCTCAGTAGGTGGTTTGTGAGTCACAACTAAGGGAACCGCTGTCCTATAGCATATTTTGTAAGAATAATGAAGACCTAATGAGGTCACTGATTTCTAAGACATTCTTCTGGTTAAACTCTTTGCTAATGTAGAGTGGCTGCCAGTTTCATATAGAAGATAAAGTCCATAGGCTAGTAAAGATCCACTGTATACTAAAACAGTAACAAAAAGAACAACATTGAGCACAGAGAAAAGATACCCATGTGAATCATAAAAACCTCTTGCTTATATCACATCAACTTTTGCCAGCAGCCATGTAATTAAAAAACAAAACCACCACACACACATGCAAATATACTCTAAAGGCAACTAACACTCTAAAATGAAGTCATTTATTTACAATACTAAAATCAACCATTGTAACCCAGTAAACCAATAGATGAATCTATTGGAATGTATTCACTCATAAAGAAAGATATTTAATCAGTTCTCAAGGGAAAGCGGATAAAGAAATTATTTACTTGTTTGTACTTCCTCCCTCTAAGTAAAGTTTCTGGTATAGATCCTTTCTTTTGAAAGGCACAGAGATAG